CTCAAGGTGAAAAATTTTTAGAGTAAAAGATTCAAAAAACCACAGGCGGAAGACCATAAACCAAAGGAATGTTAAACCTCTTTTTATCTCCATCCCCAGCTAGGTTGAGTTTCAACATTCAAAGCCCTAAGCTCTTTTTGCAGCAATACCACTCTCTCTCCTCTCAAAACTCCTTCACACCCACCATTTATTTCCACCCCAACACCTCTTTTTCTCTCTCTATCTCCGAAGTCCCTAGCGGAAAGAACCTCTTTTTACTCTTGAATTTTTCATATGGTAGTATTTTGAAGTGTTATGTGGTACGAGTATATGATTTGCTTTTGTTGTTTATTTGTATGTGGGGTGGTTTTATTGTGATGGTCCTAGGCGTTCAAGCAGTCAAAGGAAGGCTTTGTGTTGCTTCAATTTGCTATTGTAGCTGCTATGCGGCAATATGATTGGAGCAGAAAATAGTTGAAATTTGCTTCCATTGATTCTGGAAGAATGTGAGTGTGTGTATTGCAATTAGGTGTTATACCATTGGGTTCACGTAGGAAAGGGGTACCCAAATTAGTTGTTTGGAGAAAAATTTGTTCTTTCGATGGTTTTAGCAAGAAAGTGAAGCAGTTTCAATTCATTTTGGGAGTTTGACACAATGTAATGTTGTGTTTGGAGTGCATTTTTTAGCTTTGATTGTGTGAATGAATTTACAAAATGTCATATTCTGTTTAATATTTCCTATTTTCAAGCATTTTCTTTGTCAGTGACAAAAATGGGGACTCTAATTAACCTTGGTGCAAGGGATTCATGCTAATTTCAAGAGTTTATGAATCAATTATATGCATGTATAAGTGAGAAATGTATAATTTTATTAGAATAATCCGCCAATCCAAATATAGGATAAAATTGGTTTAGATTAGAATGGATACAGTCATGGGTATAATGGTAAATTACTACAAAATTATTTGTGTAATCTATGGGGTCCACTGAATTACATATTTGTTTCCCAAACAAAGGTTAGGATTGAATATATTCCAAGGTTAAGGTTTTAAAGTGGATGAGTTGGTTTGACTTGGATGGGTTGGAATATAAAAAAAGTAATCTTACCCTATCCAACCCCATTATCCAAACACACCCAAAACTTATAGGGTGTGAGCCCATTCACAACATATTACAACCATTGATTCTTGGAATGTATCCCCATTATATCATCGGACATGAACTGAGGTTGGAATCACTCTACTATGTCTGCCTTTGTATGTCTGTGTATCTGTATGATAATTGGGGGCTATCTTACCATGGTTTCACCATAGCATGTCCACCTTTCATTATCATTCCATTGTGGCCCTCAATATACACGAACAAATTTCTACATATATGAATAAGTTGCAACTCCCACCCACCTGATGAACCTAGAGAATATGGTCCCTATCCCTCAAAAGAATGGGTTGTGGTAATAGGTAAGGAAGTGCTCATTGGTTTGAACAGAAAAGAAAAAAAGAAGAGAGAATAAGGGGTGGGTAGTTCATTCAACTATAGACAGGAGCATTTTCATCATGATAAATTGAGCGAATGGCTGACCTATTTCATTGATCAGTTGGAACATCGATGGGGAAAATTGCCTTCCTGGGGTTTTCGTTATGACATCAGGAAACAGTGATTATAGTGATTACAACCTCTAGCTCTAGGGAGTCACTGTAATTGCTCAGACATAAGTGGTACCCTGTGTTGTAAGCCTAAACATCAATGGCAGTTAGTCTAATTTAACCTTCACAGAAACCAAGGAAACTAATCGAATCAACATAAGCCATTTCAAAGCAAGACAAAATAATCACAAACCATCTCTGCAAAACCAATTGGACAAAAAATTTACGTATAAAGCAATGGCAATGACTACTATCAATCTAACTTACCCAAAAAAAAGACTACTACAAATGTAACGAGCATAAACCTTTCACAAATCTAAAGTTTGATGAACTCAAAACAGCATCAAAAGAACAAGACAGAGATCATAGTTTCATAGATAAACATAAAAGACGCAAACACAACCAATATAAACCACAAAATCCAACTTAAAGACCAAGTACTGTATAGACCCAACAATATGAAAAACCAAAACTCATATTTAAGTTCCTCAAGGAAAACCACATAATCAAACGAAATCATCAAATATCCAAATGGCAAGTATAACACACATTAACCCTTCTTATAACATTGTGAATAGCACAAGGCGACAAAAGTATCAATGCATCATCTGAAACACAACACCATTGGTCATGTTCACTTGCTGTCCATCAAAAGTATAATGGACAAAAAGGCATCTCCTACATCATCAATGTGATAGTAAGAAATGGCGAAATTCCTGGCAGAAGCCCATCTCAAGTTTCAAGTCTAGTAGATATAACCTATAATAATAAAGCAAAACCCATAACACAATTTCCACATAAATCTTTAAGCGCACATCAAAAATCAGTCAAACAAATGCCAAACCCATCTCAAATTCCAAACTTAAGACAAAGTATAAGAACCCCTAAACTTGAACATTCATTAGCACATTAATAAGATGAAAACCGATCTTAACTTTCAAGTCTAGTAGACATTCACCTATCATAAAATTGCAAAACCACCCTTAACAAAATTTCCACACAAATCTTTAAGAGCACAGCAGAATAGGTCAAACAAACACCAAACAATCTCAAATTCCAATCCAAAGACAAAACATTCGTTAGCACATACAAAAGCCGAATTATATAAGAACCCTAAAACAGAACATTCGTTAGCACATAAATACGGCGAAAACCCATCTTAACTTTCACGTCTAGTAGACATAAACCTATGAGACCATAGCAAAACCCATACAAAAATTACCACAGAAATCTTTAAGAACACGGCAAAATCAGTCAAATAAACACCGAACCCATCTCAAACTCCAACCCTAAGATATAACACACACACACACACACACAAGAACCCTAAAACAAAACATTCATTAGCACATAAACAAGCTGAGAAATGAAATAAACAAAGAAACCCACTTACATCTTGGAAATTGGTTATGGATTCCACCACTGGCAGCGCCAATGGAGCTTCCAGAACTCTTCCAAATGGGAAGAACAAGGTGAAATGGAATAGGGAGGCCAGAGACTATGTACTTGAAGATAAGGGCTTGTTGATGGAGTTCATACTCCTGTGCAGCTGTGAACGCAGACTTTCCATGGTGTGTGATGGCATTCGCATGGCTCCGTCCTCCAGAACCAAAGGCACCAATCCCAAGACCAAGCTTGATCGACAGTAATCCTTAATCAGAAATTATAATATGAGCAAACTAAACACCCTGTACACATTATACTACACACAAATTCTCAGAGAGAGAGAGAGAGAGAGAGAGAGGACCAGAATGAGCATGAGTGGTGAGGGGTTGGGGCTCCATTCTTTACATGGATTTAAAGCTACTGAGCTAATGGCGTGACAGAAAAAGACTATGCAACTGTCTCAACAAAGGTAAAAGTGTGCGTCTCTGAGCGCGCGCGCGAGAGAGAGAGAATCGTATGAAGAATATTGACCCACCTGATTTGATTTCAATCGCCCAGTTTAATGGTTCTTTAACGAATCCAATAACAGAACCAGCCCCGCCTTTGGAACCGGGTCACCAATTTTTCGGGTTTAATGACACTCGTTTTTGGCATTTTTTGTATGATGGTTGCTTCAGTGCAGTGGGTGAAAACTGGTAAATCAGTTAAAACGATAATTTCATTTTTTCTTAATCAGAATCATCCCAATATTTTTTGGAGCAAATGCTACGAATATGTATAATGCAAAATAGGTATATCCATCTGCACACAATTATTTGTATGCCCGTAAACAAATATGAATTATAAACTTTAATTTTTAATAACTAGCATTCCGGGTGTGCAAGGGTTCGAGTCTCATACGAGGCTCGCGTGGAGTTACTTACTTCCAAGAAATAACCACCTCTATTTCTATCAAAGTCCAAGCCACCTACAACCACTGCCAATAATAAAACATGGATGCAACAAGTTTCTTGCTTAAAAAAAATGCAATTTCCTGATCAGATGTTGCCAACAATAAATAATCGGTGTCGTGAAAATAAAGGAGAATAATATGGTCAAACCACCCATTTAAGCCAGAGTTACCATTGGGAAAATAAAAAAGATTTTAGAATATATTGAAACCACAACGATGATTTTTCCGGGAAATGCAGTTCACCCAGGGAAATTATTAGCGTCACTGAACAGAAAAACTCTCAAAAGGTACACCACCAAGGGCAAACAAAGTCTTCACTACGGTTTTATTTTGTCACCGTCTGCCGAAGATTGCACAACTAGCCCGTCAATGCTGATGCTCCAGATATGATCTCAATCAGTTCAGTGGCGATAGATGCTTGACGAGTTCTAATTACAGAAGACAGTGAAATCAGATTGCATTCGTACAAAACAAATTAAAATTTCATGTTTTTTTAGTTCATTTCCCATAATAAAAAGAGATGGTTAGGTGTGGGGGGAGGGTTGGCGTGTGCTGTTGTTCTCTGAGAGAGAGAGAGAGAACCTGTTATAAGTAAGTGTGAGGCGATCAAGCATATCGCCAGCATTTCTACTGGAACTATCCATGGCAGACATCCTTGCTCCTTGCTCACTACAAGCATTCTCCATAACCGCATTGAACATAACTTAGGGAAATTAGAAAGAAATCTCAAGTTAAACAGAGTGTAGATAAAATGCTGGTATGCAAATTATAGACGGTATTTTCCATAGAAATATGGCTAATTAACCAGCATGAACTTTTCACCCATGCTCAAATCCAAGAATGTTGGAAAAATCAACAAATGTAGAGATTAAACGTCCCTGACTAGCATGTGAGAATCACACCGTAGATGGTTTTATGAAATCAAAATAATGCTGGCTACAGTCAAAATAAAACAGTTGGAGAATGGGTTCTAGCCATGAAAGAAGGGACCTACACAAGAAAACTGGAATTTTGTTAGGTTCTGAAGAACTTCTTACTTTGTTTCGTCACCTCCAATCTCATAGGAATCCAACTCACTAAGCTTTCCCCCAGATTTAGCTTCTTTCTCCACAACCTATACAAACAAAACATCAAATCAACTTCCACAAACAAAAGAACCCAAAATGAAATCAGTGTGGATTAATTAAGTCAGTAGAAACTAGTAACCTCAGGAGACAATAAGGTTGCCACTGTCGGCACAAAGGACACAACCGACTGGAACTTGTTGAAAACAATCCTCAAGGCATCATATTCTACGTTCTTTAGGATGTCATCAGCAAGCACAGAAACCTGCAAGGGCAACAAAATGGATAGAACATAAAGGCGGGTAAAGAGAGATAGCATCAACCATAAATCTAACTTTTGAAATACGTAAATTGTTAAGGTAGCTCAATATGCATCAACTTTTGTATTCCATCACATGATATTTTAGTTCCACAGCTATTTTTCCCACAGTGTATGAAGGGTGACTTAAGGAAATTCATATCGGTCCTCTCATCAAGAAAAGGATGAGTGCACCTTGCACCTTTCATCTAGAAGAGAGTAAGTGTGCCTCTTGCAAGGAAGATTGTTTATTTTCTGGTCAACTCAGTGAGAAGAGTCAGAAGACCAATATGATAAACCACCTAACTTCTTTTTCAGATAATTTGTCAAATTAACTGTAACATATCACCCCAGGAAATCAAGAACAACATATACTAAATTATGTTGGGATCAATCTGTAATTTATGAACATGTAAGTCAGGCTTCTCATTGGGAGTAACCATGTTATATGAAGTGAGGGAGAAAAGTGTTAAAATATGGAACTTCGCATGAAGTGACAGCAACCACTTTCATATGCTTCCTGTGTGCAATCTATAATAATGAGGTTGAATGAGTGGGAAAAACCAAGAGAACATAAGCGGGGAAAATAAAGGAGAGCAAACAGATGAACATGCATCCAACCATGGTGCACGTGAGGTATGTGTTTCTGTGTTGAGACGAGGTTTGTGTAATGTGTAAAGAAGAAATATTTGAAATGTGAAGAGAAGCACTTGAAATATGTGAAAGGGATACTCAAACTCAAAGTAGAGTCCCGTATATATAGCCAAAAATAATACAGAGTGACTTAAATATCCTTGTAGTTTAGGCAAAATATAAAAATCATAGTAAGGGTAAAAAAGACCTAGACTACTATCTATACTCCAACACTCCCCCTCAAGCTAGGCGCAAAAATGTCAACTAAGCCAAGCTTGACAATGGAGTCCCGAAGAATAGACAGAGTAACAGGTTTGGTAAAAACATCCGCAACTTGATCACTGGTCCCCACAAACGATGGAGTAACAAGACCACTGGTGACCTTCTCCCGAAGAAAGTGAACATCGATCTTTATATGCTTCGTTCTCTCATGTAGTACAGAGTCAGAAGCGAGCTGAATAGCAGATTGATTATCACAATATAATGTGGATGGAGAGGTCACTGAAAAACCCAACTCGTCAAGAATCGATCGTAGCCAGATAATCTCACATGTGCCAAGTGCCAATGCCCGATACTCTGCCTCTGCGGACGAGCGGGAGACAACTGCCTGCTTCTTGCTCTTCCAAGAGATAAGATGAGTCCCTCGAAAAGCACAGAAACCCGTAGTAGATCGACCATCACATGCTCCCCCATAATCTGAATCTGAATAACAGGCTAGAGAACCGGTCTGAGATCCTGATGCATAAAACAATCCAAGTCCAGGACAAGACTTGAGGTACCGAAGAATATGATAAACTGCATCAAGATGAGGCTGACATGGCCTATGCATGAACTGACTAACTCGGCTGACTGCGAATGAAATGTCCGGCCTAGTATTGGCTAAGTAGATAAGTCTACCTACCAATCTTTGATAAACTGTCGGATCTTTCAACTCCTCACCTTCAGCAGTAAGCTTCAGGTTTGGAATCATAGGTGATGATGCCGGTTTGCACCCCAACATCCCAGTGTCTGAAAGAAGATCCAAAACATACTTTCTCTGAGAAAGAACAATACCTCTGCTTCTACGGGCAACCTCAATCCCAAGAAAGTATCGCAGAAATCCAAGATCCTTCACATCGAAGGCCTTCCCAAGGTCTATCTTGACCTGCGCAGTCCCAGAAACATCATCACCAGTAATAATAATATCATCAACATATACCAGAAGGATGACACACTGTCCAGAAGTATTCCGTCGAATAAAGCAGGTATGATCAGAATGACACCTGGTGAACCCCAATCGTAGAACTACATCACTGAAGCGAGAGAACCAGGCTCGTGGCGACTGTTTCAGTCCATAAAGAGACTTACGCAGTCGACATACCTTTCCAGCATACTCCCCCTCACCACGAAAGCCCGGTGGTGCATCCATATAAATAATCTCGTTCAGATCACCGTGAAGAAACGCATTCTTCACATCTAATTGATGAAGAGGCCAAGAGTACTCCGCAGCCAGAGAAATAATTAACCGAACAGTAGTCAATTTTGCCACGGGGGCAAATGTAGCACCAAAGTCACGACCTGGTACCTGAGTAAAGCCCTTCGCCACAAGTCTAGCCTTGTAACGATCAATAGTACCATCTGCCAGAAACTTCAGGGTGTAAACCCAGCGACAGCCAACAGGCTTCACCCCTGAAGGTAAGGAGACAAGATCCCATGTATGATTACGCTGAAGAGCGTCCATCTCTGTCTGCATGGCAAGAACCCACTGGGGCTCCCGCATAGCTTCCGAAATAGAGCGAGGAACCAGCGTATCTGATAAGGCCATAGTATAAGCTCGAAATGTGGGAGACAGATTACCATAAGAAACATAAGCAGAGATCGGATATAAAATCTTGGCGGTCCAACCATATCGATCAACTGGACGGCGATCACGCCTTGGATAACGACGCCCTAAATCACCATCCTCTACTGATAATATCTTATCAGGTAAAGTAACTGGCTCAGCACCTGTAATCTCATCAGTACTAACAACAGGTGCATCAATATGCTCAACAAACTGAGAAGTATTACCTGCATCGCCTGAGGTAGAGGGGATATCAGCAGGGTGATGAGAGCGAGGACAACGAGCATACACCTGCAAAGGAAGAGAGACTGGTAACTCTGTACTGACAGGGATGAGTGACTCCTTGGGAGGAAAAACGGATGACCCTGTAGGGATAGTGATCAATGACTCTGACTCTTGTGGTAATGGGAAGTCAAAGGGAGTATCATCAACTGGAGGGGCAGACAAAGGACTGAAAGGAAAAAAAGGAATATGCTCAAGAAAGGTAACATCTAGACTGTGATACATACGACGCCTAATAGGATCATAACAGCGATACCCCTTAGATTGATGACAATAGCCCACAAAGATACAACGAATCGCTTTATCATCAAGTTTATGACGAGTAGGAGACCGATCCTGAACAAAACATGTGCATCCAAAAACACGAGGGGGGACCGGAAAAAGTGTCCGCTCAGGAAATAAGACCTGTAAGGGAGCCTTATGCTGAAGAACACGACTCGGCGTACGATTGCACAGAAAGGTAGAAGTCAAAACAGCAAAATGCCAATAAGATTTTGGTACCCTCATGCCTCTAAGCAGACAACGTACCATCCCTATCAAACTCCTATTTTTCCTCTCAGCAACACCATTTTGCTCAGGAGTATATGGACAAGTGAGTTGCTGAAGGATACCCTGAGAAGAAAGGTGAGACACTAAAGCATCAGACACATATTCTTTGGCATTATCCGAACGAAGAGCACGAACAATGACATCGAATTGTGTCTTAATCATCTGTAAAAACTGAGTGATTATAGGGAGCACATCAGACTTCCTATGCAAAAGGTAGACCCAAGTACAACGGGTATGATCATCTATAAATGTCACATAATATCTGGCACCTGACAGAGCAGTAACGGGAGAGGGTCCCCAAATATCAGAGTGTATTAGGTCAAATGGCTTGGGTGACTGGTGCATGCGAGGAATATAATTGGCCCTAACATGTTTTGATAGGGAACAGATAACGCAATCAAGTTTACCACCAACACAAGCATTACTCAAAGCAGGAAACAACATACATAAATATTTAAAATTTGTATGTCCAAAACGGTCATGCCACAATTGAACAGTTTGTGACGAAAAATCATAACGACAACTACTAGGTAAAATACTAGCATGCAAGCTAGGAACAGAAAAAGACAAAGCAGGTGCAGGTGAAGGAATTGGTGAAACTGGAGATGGATTGCCAAGATAATACAGTCCATCTTTCTCATGTCCCTTGATAATAATCCTCCTGGTACTCAGGTCCTGCAAATAACACGAATCAGATAAGAATACAACCGCACAGTGAAAATCTCTGGCTAACTGATGTACAGATAATAGATTCATGGCCAACTTTGGCGCATGAAAAACCGAATGTAATGTAAGGCCATCTGGGAGACGGACTGTACCCCTACTAACAATAGGGGCATGTGTTCCATCTGCTAACTGAACCTGTGTATGTAACGGCTCGTCAAAAGTGGTGAAGTGATGGGCCTCACCTGTCATGTGACCATTCGCACCCGAGTCCAACATCCAAAGGGGAGATGAACTGGCACAAGCGTGAAAGGCACGAGATATACCTGTAGTGGTGACAGCAGCAGTAGTCAGACTCTGAGAAGTCAGAGCAGACATAAGTATATCTAATCGGGAAGTGATAGCATCCATATCACTTTGCCAAGGAGGAGCAGTAGCAGGAGTGGCGGTAGTGGGCGGTGGTACCTCAGCAATAGCAACAGTACGGCTGCGAGAAGGTGGCTTAAGCTCTGGATGGAGCTTCCAGCAAGTAGCCCTGAGATGTCCTGGTCGGCCACAATAATCACATTGACGGGAATCCCCCGTCTGCGCTGATCTGGGACGCCCTGACGGCGCTGGTCTGAGCGTTGCCCATCCCTGACTAAGGATCCTGAACGGGACCCTACAGCAGTTGCAAGGGCCATCTGGTCAATCGAAGGAGTCAAAGCTGCAACTGGAAGTGATGCAATACGGACTCGACGCTCATGCTGCTCAATCATCCCATACACCTCATAAAGAGAAGGAAGTGTCAACATCGACAAGATCTGAGAACGAGGTCCCTCAAACTCATCACGAAGCCCCATAAGGAACTTGTGAATCCTATCCTCCTGCTCTCGAGTATGCAAGAATGCTGCTCCCTCGGGCTCTATCTTCGGAATAGCAGCAAGAGGACGTAGAGACTCATACTCAAGCCAGCGCTGGGTCAAATAGCCATAATAATCCTGAACGGTCATATCTCCCTGTCGAGCATATGAGAGCTCCTGAGAAAGCTCATAAACACGAACTCCCCGTCCTGACTGAGAATACATCTCTG